GGGAGGGTGTGGAAGAGTTGGTGGAGGAGGACAATGAAGAACTAACCACTGATGAGCTGCTAGATCATCTTGAACAGCAAGAGGCCACACCTGAGGAAACTGCTTCGGAGGAGGGGATAGAGAAATTGAAGAAGTTGCTTACTTCAAAGATTAAGGAAATGTGTGCAATGTGGCTTAAAGTGCAAACCTTTTTTGATGAAAATCACCCTCACACAGCTATTGCAAGCCGTGCTGGTGACTATTACACTGACAATGTTTTGAAACACTTTAGGAATGTCATAAAGGAACGGGAGGTACAGGCCTCTATGGACAGATATGTTGTGCGGCAGAGGTCCAGTGACTCTCAAGCTGGTCCTAGTGGCATTAAAAGAAGAAGGGAAGTAACCCCGGAAAAGGACTTGCCACCTCAAGTCCTAATAGAAGGGGATTCCCCTTCTAAACATTAACACCATCCACAGTCTCCCCTCCTCCCATCCCATCAATCATCACCAGATCTTCAATAAAGGTAAGTGTCATGTAACTGTGCATGTCTTCTTCAGTTTGTGTGTATTAAAATTAATATTTCATGTGGTAAAAAATTTTTTTTGTTCATACTTTGGGGTGTCAGGAACGGATTAATTTGATTTCCATTATTTCTTATGGGGAAAATTAATTCGCCTAACGATAATTTCGCCTAACGTTGAGCTCTCAGGAACAGATTAATAGCGTTAGGCGAGGGTCCACTGTATTATTATACTATTATTATTATATGTATTATTATACAGTAGACCCCCACTTTACGATCAGCTCCCAATGTGACCAATTATGTAAGTGTATTTATGTAAGTGCGTTTGTACGTGTATGTTTGGGGGTCTGAAATGGACTAATCTAATTCACAATATTCCTTATGGGAATAAATTCGTTCAGTAATGGCACCTGAACATACTTCTGGAATGAAATAATATCGTAAGCCGGGGGTCCACTGTATTATTATTATATATAGTATTATATTATTATTATTATTATCATTATTATTATTACATCTCCTTGCCAACCTCAACAAAACACATGACCATAACACAAGGCACAGATCACTCTTTGATGTTCCTCGTGTCCATCTCACGCTATGCAAAAACTCATTGCACATAAAAGGCCCTAAAATCTGGAATTCATTACCTGTAAATATAAAAGAAACACTACCTGTTTATAAATTCAAGTCTCTTCTCAAAGATCACTTACTCACCCAAAACCAAATAAATACTGAGTAACTGAACCTTATAAATTGTATATCTTAAATGTTTCTCATAATTATATCACATAAATGTTAAACCTAAGACCCAATCTAACTTTGTTATTTTTTAAATACACTGCCTAACAGAATACTCCATTCTACTGAATGTACAGCAATGCATGCAGCCATATGACCTGTCTTTGTAATACTCATTTGTGCTTTATTGTTATCTGTTTACAGTGATGTTTTATCACTGATTACATCATTGCTTAGTTAATCTTAAGTTAATTTTAAGCCTGCCCGTAATGCTATGCATACAAGTGGCTTTGGCATACTGCTCTTACCTGTATTTTTTTGTACCTCTGTATGTTCAAATTATTAAATAAATAAATAAATAAATAAATAAATAAATAAATAAATAAATAAATGGGGAAGTGCTTGTGGGGGGGAAGGGATGGAAGGTATTCAGGCTTAATTTAGGGAAATGGAACACAGATCCAGTTCCTAGGTCAAGAAGCCCCCTCACCACATACGTACTGCTACTAATAATAATTATAATAATGATTAATTAGACACATGTGCAACTCTTGGGTATCTTTATTGAGGAAACGTTTTGCCACACAGTGGCTTCATCAGTCCATACAAAGGAGAATCTTGAAGAACAGGAGGAGAATGAGGAAATCAGTCCCTCAACCTTGAGTCGATGTGGTCAGTCCATCAATCTTGATGGACTGACCACAAGATTGATGGACTGACCACATCGACTCAAGGTTGAGGGACTGATTTCCTCATTCTCCTCCTGTTCTTCAAGATTCTCCTTTGTATGGACTGATGAAGCCACTGTGTGGCGAAACGTTTCCTCAATAAAGATACCCAAGAGTTGCACATGTGTCTAATTAATCAACATGTCGGTTCTCTGAACCATTCATCTACAATTATAATAATAATAATAATAATAATAATTCAATATAATAATAATAATAATAATAATAATAATAATTCAATATAATAATATAATAATAATAATAATAATAAATAATTCAATATAATAATAATAATAATAACAGTAAGGAGAAACTTCATAAGGCTGCCAGTAGTTGGCGCCACCATCAGCAAAACATTGGTAACCACTACTTTTCACCTGTCTAGACTTAAGTAGTCCATAAGGATTAGGTTAAGTCTGCCTGAAATTCCTCGCATTATAGTGGCTTTCTTTGCTCCAGTCATATTATGTAAACACACATTGTAACCTTTGCAAAGAAACAAAAATTTTTTTATTTATTTATTTAAGGAACCTTCCTTGAGGGAGAAATATGCATCCTGAAATTTCGTTCGTATCCAGAAGCAAAAAATCGACCAAACGACGGTTCGTATCCTGAAAAGTTCGCATGGTGGGGCGTTCGTAAGCCAAGGTTCCACTGTATTTAAGAGAAAATTTTGGTAGCAGAATTACTTACAAGTGCAGTCAGCACTGAATGACCTTTGTTGAGTTCAGTACTTTCTGTGAATATGGACTTTTACACATGTATTTAAAATGTCTAAAAACAATAGGCGACATATGGGAATCTTTATTGAAGAAACGTTTTGCCACACAGTGGCTTCATCAGTCCAGTACAAATCAGAAGGGTGTAAGGAGAGGAGGAGTTTGAGGTAATTAGTCCCTCAGCCTGGGGTTGCTGTGTTTACTCCATCACATCGACTTGAGGCTGACGGAGTGATTACCTCAAACTCCTCCTCTCCTTACACCCTTCTGGTTTGTACTGGACTGATGAAGCCACTGTGTGGCGAAACGTTTCTTCAATAAAGATTCCCATATGTCGCCTATTGTTTTTAGACATTTTAAATACATGTGTAAAAGTCCATATTCACAGAAAGTACTGAACTCAACAAAGGTCATTCAGTGCTGACTGCACTTGTAAGTAATTCTGCTACCAAAATTTTCTCTTAAATACAGTGGAACCTTGGCTTACGAACGCCCCACCATGCGAACTTTTCAGGAAAGATTCCCATATGTTGCATAAGTGTCTCGGTCTTCAATTTGTCGGTTTTAAACCACTTATCACTTCATATACTATCATAGAGAAAGAAAATAATATTCATGAGTAAAAATTTGCATGAATTGTTTGTTGGTGTGATGAGGAATAGGATAAATAACTAAGATTAAGATGTTTATTTTGACATGATACTTGGTTGTACAGAGGAATATAATACATAGTTGGGTGTACATGCCAAAAGCCCTTTGTATGCAAAGCATTTCGGGCAAACTTAAAGATTAACTTAAGATTAAGAAGGCAATAATAGTTCATATGGTCATTAGACGAGTTACAGTGAGTACAAGAGAATTGAATATTCTATCAGGTAATGCTACGTGGCTTTGATAAGTCCAGTAGCTCGATCGCTAGCTCACTCATCTCACACTCTGAGGTCTGGAGATCGAATCTCCTCCAGTATGGCTGGAAAACATTAGGGACATGTTTCCATAAGACACCTGCTGTCCCTGTCCCTGTTCACCCATAAGTTTAAAATGGGTACCTGCATGTTAGTTGACTAGTGTGAGTTGCATCCTGGGGCAAAACTGACCTAACTTGCCCTAAATGCTCAGCATAACAAGGGGTGTTCTATACAGTAGTATGTTATTGATGTCAGCTAGTCCTGTATATCATGTACATGTAGTAAATAGAGATATTATTATTATTATTGAATTACGTAGTTTATAAAGTTTACAGTATTACAATGGAACAATTTACAATATGATGTATTACAGTTTAGCACTATTTAAAACAATGAAATTTGGTATTACATTGGAACAATTTAAAAACAATTTACATTATGATGTATTACAATTTAGTAATACACATGCATAAAACAATAAAATTTAGACATCCTGATTTTGAAGTAGTGAGTAAGTGGTTGAGCATTCATCAGCACAATATGAGTAGCTTTTGAGTAACTGGTAGTGATTAGGTACAGTTTGTCTAGTTAATTTTGGGTGATGAAGTGATTTCTTAGTAGGGCCTTAAACTGATTTGCAGACAAGGGTCCTTTAGTGTGTTCTGACAATGAATTCCAGATCTTTGGGCCTTTTACGCACATAGCATTTTTGCATAGGGAGAGATGGACACGAGGGATATTGAAGAGTGATTTGTGTCTCGTATTGTGGTTGTGTGTTCTGTTATAGTTATCAAAAAGGGTTTACATTTGAGTGTAGCGTTCTGTGTATGTAGTAGGCACAATAATAAGTGTGGATGTTTTGTGTATTAAGCAAGTCAAGACTTAAAAAGAGATGGAGTGTGTTGTCTAATGCAGGAGTTAGTAATCAATTGCACTGCTCATGTCACTGTTATATCAGTACGGATTCCCGTGATTTGCTTACAAATTGCATGATTTGGAAAGATTTGTGTAGAACGCAACTACAGCCTCTCCTCACTTAGTGACATACTCGTTTACCAATGACTCGGACTTACGACGAGCTCTCTGACCAGTATGCATACCTAAATAATGTATGTTAAAGCTGATTTCCTCTATTCTGATTACTACAATCTGCAGTACATTACTGTATAAACATTTAAAAATGTCCCAAAAATGTTATAAATGGTGCAAAGGTGACATTAAAACAATATCAAAGATGGTTGACACAAACCCACTACTATTGTAGTATGCTCCTCACTTAGCAATGAATTCGTTTACTGACGTGGTCTTAGGAACTGAACTCTGTCATTAAGTGATGAGAGGCTGTGTTACTGTATTTTGATGCACTTCTTTTAAATACAGTATTTCTCTTTCTTGTCAGATCAGAAAATTAGGAGAGCTGGATACCGGAGAGAGAGGGCAGGGGTGTGAAGGCCCGGACGCAGCCAGACTGATGCTGAGCTGTGTTCACCCAAACCTTTTTGTTCTCTTTAAGAAACTGTTTGGAGTAGCCCCTGCTGGGGACTCAGAGGCCGACATGTATAATAATCTAAGTCCGCAGTGGCCCTTTGTCAGACAAAGACATCCTGCAAGTGCCCAAAGTGCCAACCAGAAAGTACGAGCAGAGAGAATAACCATAGAAGGGGATGTTTTAAGGTAGGTTAAATGAATACAAAGTAAGCTCTCTCTTTTACATAAATACTGCATAATAAAAATTATTAGAAATATTTCATGAGCATCTATAACTGGAGTATACCTGGAGAGGGTTTCAGGGGTCAGTGCCCCTGCAGCCCTGTCTGAGACCAGGCCTCATGGTGGATCAGGGTCTGATCAGCCAGGCAGTTACTGCTGGCTGCACACAAACTGTTGTATGAACTACAGCCCGGCTGGTCAGGTACTGACTTTAGGTGCCTGTCCAGTGCTTTCTCGAAGACAGCCAGGGGTCTAATGGTAATCCCCCTTATGTATGCTGGGAGGCAGTTGAACAGTCCTGGGCTCCTGATACTTATTTTGCTGCCTCTCAGTGTACTCGTGGCACCCATGCTTTTCACTGGGGAATGTTGCATCTCCTGCCTAGTCTTTTTGCTTTCATAGGGAGTTATTTTTATGTGCAAGTTTGGTACTAATCTCTCTAGGATTTTCCACGCATATATTATCATGTATCTCACTCAACTGCATTCAAGGGAATACAAATCAAGGGACTTCAACCATTCCCAGTATTTTAGATGTCTTATCGTACTTATGTGTGCCATGAAAGTTCTTTGTACACTCTCCAGGTCAGCAATTTTGCCTGCCTTGAAGGGGGCAATTAGTGTACAGCGATATTCCAGTCTTGAGAGAACAAGCAATTTGAAGAGAATCATCATGGGCTTGGTGTCTTTAGTTTTGAAAGTTCTCATTATCCATCCTATCATTTTTCTAGCAGATGCGGTAGATACATTGTTGTGGTCTTTGAAGGCGAGATCCTCTGACATTATCACTCCCAGGTCCTTCACATTACTTTTTTGCTCTATTGTATGGTTAGAATTTGTTGTATACCCTGATACAGTTTTAATTTCCTCAAGTTTTCCATATCTGAGTAGTTGAGATATCTCTTCATCGAACTTCATATTGTTTTGAGTGGCCCATTTGAAGAGTTGGTTGATGTCCGCTTGGAGTCTTGCAGTGTCTTCAATGGAGGTCACTGTCATGGCAATTCAGGCATCATTCACAAAGGAAGACACAGGGCTATGGTTTACATCTCTATCTCTGTCAGATATGAGGATGAGGAATAGGATGGGAGTGAGTACTGTGTCTTGTGGAACAGAGCTCTTCACCGTAGCTGCCTTGGACTTTGCTCTGTTCTGTTTGTTAGGAAGTTGTAGATCCATCTATCTACCCGTGTTGCCTTTGGTTGTGTAATTGATGGGTATCTAGGTGGTTGGCGATCATGCTTTCTGTAATTCTTTGCAATTTCTTTACTGCTACCTTTGTAGACAGGGCTATGTCTGTAGTTTTTAGTGAGTGTGGGATGACCCCTGTGTCCATGCTCCCTTTCCATAGAATACTGAAGGCATGTGATAAGATAAGATAAGATAAGATTTCGTTCGGATTTTTAACCCCGGAGGGTTAGCCACCCAGGATAACCCAAGAAAGTCAGTGCGTCATCGAGGACTGTCTAACTTATTTCCATTGGGGTCCTTAACCCTTTGAGGGTTTTCGTCGTACTAGTACGTCTTACGCGTAGGGGTTTTTGACCTACTAGTACTCATAAATTCTAGCGGCCTCAAATCTAGTGGGAGAAAGCTGGTAGGCCTTCATATGAAAGAATGGGTCTATGTGGTCAGTGTGCACAGTCTAAAAAAAATCCTGCAGCAAACAGTGCATAATGAGAAAAAAAAAAAAACTTTGACCATTTTTTTTAATAAATCAGCAACTTTGCAGTGTATTTTCGTATGGTATTTATTGTTGTATTCTAGTTTTCTTGGTCTCATTTTATAGAATGGAAGACATATTACAGAAATTGAGATGATTTTGACTGGTTTTACAAAGAAAGGTGCCTTGAAATTGAGCTCAAAGTAGCAGAAATGTTCGATTTTTACCAAACTTCAAAAGTAAACGAATCGTGCCAAGCGTGCAATACACGTCAACTGGTGAGTCTAATATTCTTTCACAAGTGCACCAATAATATTTATACCATTTTTTACACTAATGCAGTAGTCTGCATAACAGTAAATCTTATATTTTTTGTGAAAATAAAAATTCAAAGTGGAAAGCAAAAGAATATAAGAGGGGCCTTGAGACGTGACTAATGACTAGAGGATATGTCATTTTAGTGCCATGAATGTCTTTCTTGTTTATTCTGGACCCTATTTGGAAATTGGCATCTTTTGAAATTTGTGTGAAATTGGCAAAATTGCTAAATTCTGACCACTGTACTGGATAGTTGAATTTCATAAATGAGTGGTTTCTTGCACCCATTCGATAGAAAAAATGGAGTTCTAGCGAAATATTCATGTTTTTTGTCGACTAGTACAGTGAAATTGGCCGAAAATGGGGCTCAAAGTGGGCAAAATCGCCGATGCGTAAACATCGCCGAGACCGCTAACTTTGCGAGAGCATAATTCCGTAAGTTTTCTATCAAATTTCAAACTTTTGGTGTCTTTATGATCGGGAAAAGATTCTCTATCTTTTCATAAGAAAAAATAATTTTTTTTTTTTTTTTAAATTTGGCCGACCCTGAGAACGAGTTTCGGAGAGGGCCTGTCGACCCTCAAAGGGTTAATCTTGTCCCCCAGGATGCGACCCACACCAGTCGACTAACACCCAGGTACCTATTTGCTGCTAGGTGAACAGGACAACAGGTGTAAGGAAACGTGTCGAAATGTTTCCACCCGCCGGGAATCGAACCCGGGCCCTCCGTGTGTGAAGCGGGAACTTTAGCCACCAGGCCACCGGGCCAAGGGCTTGTTGCAGTTCTTGACGAACACTGAGTTCCATGAGTCTGGGCCTGGGGCAGAGTGAATGGACATGTCATTTATTGCCTTTTCAAAGTCTTGTGGTGTTAGGATAATATCAGATATTTTTCAGATGACCGATTTTGGGTCTCGTTCATAAAGAATTCATTTAAATTGTCACCCCTGAGTCTGGGTAAAGGCTCGCTGAACACTGAGTCGTATTGGGACTTTAGTATCTCACTCATTTCTTTGCTGTCATCTGTGTATGTCCCATGTTGCCTAAGCATCAAGTACATTACTGTACTAGTATAACTGATGTTTACTTGAAAATTTTAAAATTTATAATAAACATACTATACATAAAAAAGTGTGATTCCCAAAAATCATTATAACACGATTGTAAAAAAAACTTGGCGAATGGGCATGGCACAAGCCCAGAGTAAGGTGGTCCTAAACATACCAAGTCACTGTTCTCACCACTGGACCATGCAGGCTTAACATGATTCATTCAGTTAGATGTATTTCTATGCAAGAAGTTAACATGAGACACTGACCACAAATGCAAGTTTCATTGAATGAAACCCATGCCCACATGAAAGCAGCACAGTCTACCTTAAATCCCTTGAAAGTCATTGTCGGTGATTAGTGAGAAGTGTAATAATATGAGTGTAAACAGTATGGCATAAACCTTGGTAACTGATACTGGCAAAATGGTTTAAAAAGACATGTAAGCAAACACTAGGATATATTTATGTATTAGGAGACATTTTGGGCCTGGTGGCTAACACTCTTGCTTCACACAGCCAGGGTCTGGGCTCGATTCTCAGCTAGAGTAGAAACATTGGGCGTGTTTCTTTACACCTGTTGTCTATGTTTCTCATCAGTAAAATGGGTACCTGGGTGTTAGTCGACTGGCATGGGTCGCATCCTGGGGGACAGATCTAATTTGCCCGAAATGCTGAGCATAACAAGGGGCTTTCTATATAGTAATATGTCATTGATATCAACTAGGCCTGTATACCATGTACACGTACTTGTAATGAATAACGATATTATTATTATTATTATAAGGTCCCAGGATGGAACTGTTTTCTAATATGACGTAGTGTTTGTTCACATCTTAAACATGGTTGTAAACAACTCAGGTTAGAGGATTGGCTTGTCATTTTTTTTTTTTTTTTCCCATGGATTTGAGCCCCACCTATTTCCTTAGTTAACTGATGTGATGTATCCACATTCCTGTGGATTTTCTCATGGAAATTACCTGCACTGCTTCCTTCCCTAGTGCTTACATTTCCTCACCACCTCATGCTCAGGTTCTTTATTTTATCTCTTAAGAAATTTTTTGTTTGTGGCCCCGTGTTCCTAATCCTGCCTCCCGTCTTTATCTGTCTTATTGATACCTCTTATTACCTTGTATACTGTAAACATGTTTCTGCTCTGAGCTATTATTTCATTAGTGGTTTGAGATTTAATCCTCATTGTGTCCTCATAGCTCAGATTGTTTATCTCAAGACTGAAATTGATGGCAGATCTGTGGGTCTTCTAAAGCTTTAGCACACTTTTAAGTAGCTGTGGATTCTGAAAGCAATTCTTATGCTTAACCTCACATCTCCAATTCTGCAATTTTGCTATCGCCTTAATTCTTTGTATTTTGTCTACTATATATATCTGATTTGCTTTTTTTACAATTGAATTAAAAATCTATTCTCTCTTGCTTCTGTCCACATTTTTTTTTTTTCCAAGTTTCTTCTTTCCCTTCAGTAGTCATTTCTGGCTTGGTTGAATCTGGTAAGCCTGTTATAGAATGATTACTGTATTAGTTTCCATGTTCTTCCTTTCTTTTTTTTTTTTTTTGTGTGTGTGTCTTTAGCATCTTCTGCTAAATTGTTCTTTAATATTTTGTTTTTTCCAACCCAATTAAATCTTGAATAAATGTAATACAGGAGGGCCCTGCTTTACAGTGCTTCACTTGACAGCGTTTCGCTACTGCAGCAGTTTTCAGTTACGTATACCTATTCTTCATTTATTCAGACATCCTACAATAAATACATCCACCATTCACAATAAGCTAAGGACAAAAATATTTAAAAATAAATAATGTGTGTATTGTATGTGTATTTTTTAGGCCTAGCTCTATTGCTCACTTAATATATGATAGTGTAAACATGTTATCAGGCTTTTATATGCATTTGAAAGTGAAAAAAGGCTGTTTCACTT